CAGACTCAGAATTTATTTAGAAAAAAAACATAATATTATGTAAAATCTTTAGATATAATTAGTTTATCTAAAAACCACAAAACATATTTGATGATGTGATTATAAGTCGAGCAACACCAGTGTCACTTGCCATTGGACAGGTTACGGTGGTAGATAATAAAACTGTATGAAAGATATTGATTGAAACTAATTCATTAGGTGCACCTTGTAGACCAATAATTGCTATATTATTTTTTATTTGATTATCTATGAATCGAATTCGTTGTTGACTAATAGCTGTCCATTTATTCGATTCACCAAGAAGAGCATAGTAGATTGTAGGTGTTGATTCAGTTAGTTGAATAAGAGGTGAGACATACCAAACACATATTGATGCAGCACTACATGTACAATGTGAAATATTAAGAGGATTAACATCAGAGAAAGATGATACATTAGTTGAATCATCATATGGCCATACGACTCCGGATTGAGCTTCAATCATGGAAGGATAAATTGAATAATCTCGTTTCAGAGCTGATGCAAAGATTACATGAAACGTTTGATTAGTTCTAAAAACAAAATAAAAAAATTAATTCGAAGACTAAGAAAAAAGAAATTAATTTACATTGTTGTTCGTGTTGAATAAAGTTCACCCTGTGAAATACCATTATAAAATGCCCAATCTGATGCTAATCTATTAATCATTGTTAATGGTCGATCAGGTTTTAGAATCAATCCATCTTGACGGCAACATTTCATAATTCTTTCAACATTCGTATAATTAATTCCATCACCAGGTCCAACAGGTCCTGTTGAGAGAGTAGCAATGAGTATTTCACGTTCTGGAAGTATTTCACGAGGAGAATCTGAATAAGGTGCACCTGGCTCATATGAATTAGACCAAAAGACATCTTTAAATGGTGCCAAACCTAATGCATCAGCAAACATACTAGATATTCCAATAGCCCATTGAGGTGCAGTTTCACTTTTAAGATGAAAAGCATAATCTGTTGATACACGTGCATGTGTAACACGTGGAATTTGTAAAGCTGTAAGAATATGACGAGGTAAAGCCATACAATATTGTATATTTATTTCTACTTTGTCAGCTGCTTCACCCATTGACATTAACCATTGATGTCCAATATGAATATCAGTAAATGTTGGTGAAAAATTATATGTTTGACGATCAAGCCAATCTTGTTCATAGAGAATAAGACCCCAATCACGTGTTTGTGTAAATAAATCTAACCAAAATGAATCATTTCCAATTGGTAATGCTTTACCATTTTGTTCATCTAGCACAAAAGAATAATTTTGTTTATATACAGTATCATATGCCCAATAACGATTATGTGCTGCTAGTGGTATATTTTGTAATCGACGATGAAGAGCTTGAAGTCCATCAGGAAATATATTTGGCATTGGTGTATATTGTGTAACACCACCTCCAATACCTTTATAATACCACCATGAATCAAGTTGAATATAATGAAATGGTAATGGAATTTGATTATGAACATTAATCATTGTTTCTTCATAATTCATTCCTTGTTCTGTATTATAATAATAATACGCACCATTATCAGTATAATAACCAAGATAATTAATAGTAAGATCATTCAAACGATTTTTATTTGTTCGATTAAATGCTTTTTGCATAGTTTTACCCCATTTTCGTATTCCTTCGTTAATACCTTCAGATGAATAGAAAACAATCATTGAATGATTATAATTAGCTGGTATTGTTAATATTGAACCCATAACACCATATTCTAATCTATTATTTGTTTGACTTAATGAAGTAGCCATAAATCGTGAAAAAGGTGAAAGAACTAGAATATCACTTTCTCCTCGTTGTGTCAAATTGAAAAGAACAACTGGGCCTGAATTCATTCCAGATTGAATAACTTTATTTGATGAATTCCACCTACCAGCATGTTTATCATCATCACCAGCCATTTCTCCTGAACGAAAAAAAATAATAAATATGAAAAAGTATTTTTAATAATCTATTTTACCTGCAATAGTAAAATAACCTCGTTGATCATTACTATCGATTTGTTCAATATCAAACGATGGAAATACTGTACGAACAGTATTCATAGTAAGAGGAACTGTATTAGTCATAATTTGATCACCGGTATCTAAATGAAATGTAATTGCTGAATATGAATACCATTGACGTATTCGACCCACTATTTTAGTATGTATTCCATCACGTACAAGATCATAGTTCAATTGAGTTTCATTCCAATGACCTAGATTTGAATCAATTCCTTGTGCAAAAGATATATCTATTAATGGTAGAGTATTATCATGTGATGAATACCATTTATTATCAACATATAAAGCTGTACGAGCTGAACGAAGCCATACATGATTGCCAATACTTATGTTATATCTTCCATTTTGATCAATTGATACTTGTATATCGCACCAACATCCAACTATAAAGAGAAGAAACACAAACACACGCATTTTTGTTAACTATATTGTGACTATGATGAAAGATAACTTTTCTTTATATATCGAGAGATAACAAAAAAAGATAAGTCATTGTTGTATCTATAATATTCAGATATCATACAAGTCTTTATAATCATATGAAAGAATATATCATATTTATTGGATCACTGAAATACTTGTTTGATAACTTCTATTTAAAAAAAATACTCCTAATTATTCCTGATATGAGATGAAACATCTATGTATACTTTTTTTATCATTTTTTAATGATTTATTTCGATTATGTTAATAAATTTTATAAAAAAAAATAAAATTATGAATTACAATATATTCAATGTGTTCTATAATAACTAATTATTTCCATGACATGTTTTGGAAAATTAATTTCATCATTTAATTGTTGACCTTTTTGTAAACATTCGGTTCTTGTTAATGATGATGTATTATTAGAATCATGAGTAAGTACTTGTTTACCCCATTCAATTTTATTTTGTTCAATCATTGTATTTATTTCTTCTTTCGTTATTTCATTGTGTACTTGTCCAAATTGTAATACTTTCAATGTTGTTAATATTCGATTTTCTTTTAATGCATCTCGTAATTTCATTAATCCACGTTGTGAAATACCATTGAATGTAAGATCAATCGAACGAATACATTTAATAGAACGAATCAATCGACTGATTTCTTCTGCACCTTCATCTCCAATAACATTATCTAAACCACCAAGTAAAATTGTTGCTTTCATATAACCAAGATTCAATTGTTCAAGTGATGGATGATTGATAAGAGCATCGACTAATGCACGTGCACCATCAAAACCAATACAATTCGATGCTAAACCAAGTCGTTTAAGATGTTTATCATGTTTTAAACCTGCTGCTATTTCACATGTACCTGCATCTCCTAATGCATTACATGATAAATACAATGATTCTAATTGATTATCATGTTGTTCAAAATATAAACGCATATTTTGTCCACTTTTAACAGTTAAACCATTCGTATCAATATATAAATGTTTAAGTGTATTATTTGATTTTAAAGAATTAAATAGTATTTCACAACCTTCATCCAATAGACCTGTGTTCAATAAATCTAATGTTTGTAAATAATGATTAGTTGTTAACATTCGAGCAATATGAACTACTCCCGTAGCTAAAATTGGATTTCGTTTTAACCAAAGTGCTTTAACATTTGTATCAGTTGCTAATGCATCACATATTAATGATATACATTCACTATCGAAATTATTACCAGCGATATACCATGTATCAATATTCGAATTCGTATTAAGATGAATATAGTCAGAAATAGCTTGTGCACCTGGAAGTCCAACAATATTATTTCCTAACAAAGATAAAAACGATATGCAAATCCGTTTCAATATATAAACTTACCTAATAGCAATCGATTAACTACTGAACTATTTTTCATTGCATTGAGTAATGGTTGAATACCTTTTGGACCTACAACTTGTTTACATAAATCTAATCGTCCGCCAGTCATAATTGTACCACGTGAGAATACGATAGATTGATTATCATCACTAGGTCCAGGTTTATTTAATATTAAATGTTCTAACAATGGCTGTAATTCTTCCAAAGAACATGGAACAACTATGAAGAAGAAGAAAATACGTATTCAAAATTTATAGAATTAATTAATTGAATTTAATTTACCTGGTTCTGGTTCAGGATTTGTAATGTAGTTTGAAGGTGGAGCATTTAATAATTGTTCTCGTTGTTCTTTTGTATATCGAAAAGCACGATCTCGTCGTGTTCGTAATCTAACTTGTTCATTGACAAAACTTGGTGATGCTTTTTCCAAAACATGACAAACAGTTGATATAAGTCGTTTGTAACTTTGATATGAATAACCTTTATCAGCATTTAATTGTTTTTCACTTTTATCAGTTATATTAATAATTGGTTGTATATATTTAGCAATTTCTTTTGCCATAACTAAACAATAGATTGAAGAAGATATATATGAGAAACCAAAAAAAAAATTACTTGTGCTTTGATTATAACGACTATTACCAATTCGTGGAGCTTCTTTAGCACAATTACTAATCCATTCTTGATTTTTAATACTCATCTGTTCTTCTTGTTCATTTGCAGATTCATCTGGTTGATTTAAAACAATACGATGATCATGTTTCAATTGATCACCAAGTATTTTCACACATGCCGCTTTCAGATTTTCCATCAATATTTTTTCAGTTGAAAATTCATTTTGCATTTGACAAACAGATAAATATAAAGTTTTTAAATCTCCCCAACTACCATATTTTGGAATGATATTAAGATACAATGAAAGAATTTCATTAGGTTTCTTCAAATACAATAATATTAAATATCGAAAAAATAATGGTATAGTATTTTTGTCATCATCAATTTTCGGTTCAATATTATGAAATGTTGTTCGTTGACACCAGATAAGTAACATGATATCATCTAATAAATAATTATCGATATTTTCAATGATATTTTCAGTATTTAATTGATCGATTGATTTTGATAGACCAATAGGAATAGCAGATATTTTCTTTTGTTTTCGTTCTGTAGCAGGTAAATTTGATAATTGTTTTTGATGAAATAAAATTGTTGCTTCAAGTTTTTCTTCAAATGTATTTAATGAATGAAATTGAAGTGTAATATCATCATGATTTGTTACATCTTTTTTATTTGATAAATATGTTTGTTGTTCAAGTAGAAATTGTTTAATAGTTTTATTTGGCCATGTATTTGGTGTAAAATGTCCACCAGGATGTGATACAATTAAAGGATTTTCAAATGCAGCTGCTAATTTTAATGTTCGATCATTATTTATTAAAACATCATTAACTCCATAAATATGTAAAGATGATACATTTTTTATTGAATTTGGTTGCATTAGCTGTTCATGACAATCAGCTCGTGAAGCAAATCCAGATATTAATATTGCAAAATTAAATGAAACATTACCAAATGGTTGTAAACCACATAGAATTCCACCTAATGATGCACCTTGCTAATAATAAAAATTTACAATAGAAAATAGAGAAAAAAAATTATGATTTATAATACATACAGCAAAACCAAGTACTCCATCGAATGGACCTTCTGATTTAAATAATTTATCAATATAATGTAATGAAACATCTAAATGATGATAGGTTTTACTATCTTTCGAAGCATTCCACCATTGTCGTTGATAACCAGTTTCTGGCATATTTCCATCTCCAAAAGCAGCTAATAATTGTTCTTTAACATCACCTGTTGGATCATATGATAATGGAGCATTTGCATAATAAAATGTTGCTATA